AACAAACTCACTAAAAGTACATAATACCATAGATTAATACACAGGAAGAATAAAACCTAATTAGAACACGTTGATTCATCAGTTGGGTATCCTTTTAGTTAACGATATTATCAGCCATTAACTCAATCACATCTCACGAAGCTGAGCCGTCCAGTTTGTGAGATATAAGTTAGCCCTAAATCTATACACCAAGTCAACATTTTAAAATAACCTTGAATGGGGTAAAATTAGTGATATTATTAAGAAATGATAGAAATATAAATGCATTTTATACACACAACCAATAACAGTAATGAAACGATATATCAAAAAACGAAATAACTCATCACTTACAATTCACATAAAACACATTATTTGCTTCTAACCTACATAGCAATATTTAACACTAATAGAGGGCGCAGTTTTTAATTTTATACAGCATTACTGTTTTAAAGAATAAAAAATCGATCGTTTAAATGAATAAATTAAAACATTCCGGTAATTTTATTATTTACAGAAATGATATAGAATCATCTGATATAGCTCAAGCTATTAACATTTGAAAATGATGTTTTTGTAAGTCATGTTATAAATTATTCTTATTGGGAATCACATCTCATTGTTAACAACCCTGGAACAGCCATTGAACGTGAATAATAACAGATGAAATCATTGTTAACCGATCCGGAATAGCCACTAATTTATTATTTATTATGGATTGTAATTGTTGCAATCATTGTTATGCATTCTGGACCAGAGCTTTAAATATTTTAATTCTATATTTTTAAAAATAGCAAAGTTGAAACGTTTACTGCCTGTTTGACATTCTGGATACTTCTAAGAGCCTTCCCTGCCCTTATGAAAACCATCTGTTTCATAGAGTTAACACGTAGATTCAGTATCAAAATAACTGAGAAACTAAAACTAATTAAGGTGCAGCTTAATACTAAAGGCAAAATACGTTGAACCAATAATTGAATGAAGAAAAAACAATATTATTTTACAACATATTTAATGCCAATAAATGTTAAGAGCATTTAACAAGAGTACACAATGAAAGCAAAACAAATAATTTTACATTTACACTATACCATAACACCGTATCTAAAGATAACGCGTTTCACTTTACAAGACTATTATAAACACAGTGTTATATATTCAAAGACTTTTGGAGACTGTACCATTACTGAAGTGTTATAACAAGGTATCTAAATATAACATGTTTTACATTACAAAATATTACAAAACTACCTAAATATATCGAGGTTTCTTGTTGTCGTTTATTGTAAATACATTTAGTATAGTCACAATAAATAAAGCAAGAGATTAATAAAAAAAATATCACTCGCTGATCGTCATTTCTAATGACAGCATGATGACAGAAAATAAACCGGCAGACAGATAGACAGAGTAGTTATCATTGTGTTAGATAGACAGAGTAACTATTATTGTGTTAGATAGACAAATTAGTTATCAATGTGTAATCGCTATTTCTATGACATTTAGCATAATGACAGAAAATGAACCGGCAGACAGATAGACAGAGTAGTTATCATTGTGTTAGATAGACAGAGTAACTATTATTGTGTTAGATAGACAAATTAGTTATCATTGTGTAATCGCTATTTCTATGACATTTAGCATGATGACAGAAAATAAACCGGCAGACAGATAGACAGAGTAGTTATTATTGTGTTAGATACACAGAGTAATTATCATTGTGTTAGATAGACAAATTAGTTATCATTGTGTAATCGCTATTTCTATGACATTTAGCATGATGACAGAAAATAAACCGGCAGACAGATAGACAGAGTAGTTATCATTGTGTTAGATACACAGAGTAATTATTATTGTGTTAGATAGACAAATTAGTTATCATTGTGTAATCGCTATTTCTATGACATTTAGCATAATGACAGAAAATGAACCGCGGGTAAATAGAGTAGCCATCAGTGGCCAGCCTTTATTTCAATGACAGAAAGTGAAGCGACAGATAGATAGATGGACCGGCTAACGTTAGCTGGTCGTTATTTCAGTGGCAACTTAATTACCAGGAACAACTCTGCCGTCTCATCAGGCGTTTAGCATATGATGTACTCCCTATAACCGGAACCATGTTTCAAACTAAAACCTTTTTTTTTTTTACAGTCCCAATGTTCTTAATCTCGTTACACCGCGCCTTCAGATGAGACTAAGAAAAAAAAATCTCGTTACGTAGAATGATTCACTCGGTTTAAAATATATATATAAAAAAAAGAAACAACAGATCCGCTTCGTGACGCCTGAGTTTACTCATTTCTAAAAATCCTATGTCCCACTGGATTTAAAAGTTCCAATGAACTCTATTTAATCTCATTAATTTTACTTACAAAACAAAAAATTCTCTTTCATAACACAAGCAAATTCTAAAACAAATATAAAAAACTGATTAGGAGGGTTCTCTAATATTTGTATTTAAGTTATAAAAGTTCATCCATAATTTGATCTAATTACAAGCACTGAAAGCCTTCCTGTAAAGTGGTAGGTTTAAATTTATGACACTTAGCTCTCGCCATGCCAAGTCATGGGCTTATAAAATTACCGTGAGACGTTTTTACACCGTATGAACAATTTAGATATTTGATATTTTCAACTTGAAAAGGCCAAGTAAGAGATCTGAAAGTTCAAGTATAGACTAGAGGGAACAGCTGACTAGAGGGAAGGCAATCAGCGAAAAAAAAAAAGATCCGCCAAATATGAAATTGACTGTGATAGACACAGCGTTCCTACAGCTGAAAGTAGTTTGCGTGTTCAACGCCATATTGCGACCTTCACGTTGGATTTTCAATCCGCAGCCCGAATAGCCGGGGATATATTCTGAATGTTTTTTCAATGTTCAAAAATGATATATTTTGAAAGGAAAGTTACCTTGTCGTTTTGTTTAAATATATGCATCCATACCATTATCTTATTTCATTCCAAACTGGAATAGGTTTTAAATATACACATCTACACGATTATATTATTTCATTCCAAACTGGAATAGGTTTTAGATATACACATCTATACCATTATCTTATTTCATTCCAAACTGGAATAGGATATACACATCTACACGATTATATGATTTCATTCCAAACTGGAATAGGATATACACATCTACACGATTATATTATTTCATTCCAAACTGGAATAGGTTTTAGATATACACATCTACACGATTATATTATTTCATTCCAAACTGGAATAGGTTTTAGATATACACATCTACACGATTATATTATTTCATTCCAAAAAAAAATTTGAAATCCATTAGTCAGTTTTCCCGAAGTTTTGAGACAAAACATCCAAACTCACATTAAGTAACTCATTAACTAACTGCTTCAGGGCTACAGTTTAGAGCAGAACAAGCTCTCGTTTTCTCTGCTAGCTCGATGATAGAAAGTACTACCGAATGTAGTTTTATTCGGCTTTCAATTTGGAAAATGGTTGAGTTTTACAAATTTCTTACAAAAGTGCAAACAATTTTGATCATCATCATTTATCGCAAAGGCATGTTTTATATAAAAACTATTTTAGTTCTAGGCCTTGCAGCTAGACACTATTATGTTCTACCTCTATCAGTATAGTTACCCATGGGTTTCCCTGCGTATGCATCTTCTAAGGAAAGTGTACCAACTATTTCGATAACCAGCAAGTAAAACACGCTAGCTGATCAAAGAATGCTTAGAGTGTAAACAGATAATTACAAATAGATTACTTCTATTGTCTTTCATCACTCTACTCCCCCCTCCCCCAAAGAAAATTATAAAATATTGAAAAATCGTTCGAAAGACATGCACATTTTTTTCTGCAGAACTCCAGGAATAAATGGGACTTGTGTGTTTGGTTTTATAAAGGCCTCATCAGGTATAATCTTACTAGCTTTACACGCACAAAGACAAGTTTGGTTTTCACAAAGACAAGTTTGGTTTTATGAAGGCCTCATCAGATATAATCTTACTAGCTTTACACGCACAAAGGCACGTAAGATTATACTTGATGAGGCCTTTATAAAACCAAACTTGTCTTTGTGCGTGTAAAGCTAGTAAGATTATACTTGATGAGGCCTTTATAAAACCAAACTTGTCTTTATGTATGACCAGTATAATTATATCTGGTCAAGACTAAATGAGGACTCCATGAAAAAAAAGAAAAAAAAAGGGATAAAATTAAACTTTTCTTTGTGGATAAAGCTAGTACACTTATTTAGGACACATATTGAACTTTTTTTTAAGGGTTATCGTCCAAATATTCATTATTGTTAAAAGAAAATGTTATAAACTTCATTTACAAGCCGATTCATGGTCTACTCGTACACAAAACGCCATATGTTATAAAAGAGCAAATAAAAAAAAATATACGCTTGACTTAGTTAAATTTAAAATCAACGAACACGGTTTTTTGTTGTTTTTTCACCTTCCGAACAGCTTTTAACTCCTGAATAAAAGAGAAGTTCTCTGCTTCGTGGGCATGTTGAGTTTAATAATTTCTGCTTTGTAATTCCATATCATAAATTATGTATAGAAACGTGCATGTGTGGAGATGGAAAGGCTTTTGTTCTTCCCGACGTGCATGTGAAGCGTATTAAATTACGTGTTGTTAGAGAAAGCTTGAAAAAACTCGAGTCTATCTTGTTTATTAGAAAATAACAATGGATTTCATTTTTATTGTAGGTTAGTGAAACTGTCTTTAAGGCCTCCTAGCTTTAGCTCATCTTCATTTTTAGCAGACATATGTTTCATGAGTCATTTTCCAAGTAAGTATTGTAAAATGGAAAACTTCTCCCTGTGGGACAGACTCCGCCCCTTTTTAAAGAGTACCCAATTATGATGGTAATTTGAAAGATGACGTTGACTGTGTAACAATCGCACTATCATTATAAAACGAACTGTCAATTGTTCCAACGCTTCATTTGAAATAAATGATAAACTAAGAATATTCACGTTGACATTGCGACTGTCTAATTTTAAATCGTCGTGTCAAGTTAGCCTGAAACAATGAATCACAGCACCATCAACAAAAAGTCAGTGAAGTGGAGTTTGATGTTAGCTTATCTGTTTTCTCTGATGGTTAAAGCTTCCGGGAAATGTCCAGAAGAAAAACTGTCTGTCTATGAAGTGTCTTTAGTGACCGAATGGTCCGAGAAAAACTTTCCCAAGCAGTACCCAATGTGGAGACCCCACGCACAGTGGTCCAAAGTTCTAGGTAAGTTTCTAAAAAAACACGATTACTTCATGCTGCTGATACTTTAATTAAACGGAACTCTTCCTGATGTCAAAGATTTCTCGCACCAATGTTCTAATAACATGTAAATGATCAAGATATTGCAATGTGATGATGTCACCCAGATGTATTTATGTATTTTTGTTGCATGAAACTGAAAAACCTGAACTGATTCTAAAGTGAATAGCTAATGACCGTTTTCCATTTCTAAAATGTCGTAGTTGAATGTGACCTTTTAGAAAAAAAAAACTTGAAAACAAAACATTTTCAGTTTAATAACAAAGGAAATGAACGAATAGTATATTTTAAATCCTGCTACCCAATCTCAGAAAGTTCGAGCACATTATTTGCTCTTGAAAGGTTTCTCTTGATGTATCTTCTTTAAAGTGCCATTTTTATTTGTCCCTTCAAATTTTATAGTGTAAAACGCTTAAGTTTGCGAAGCATATCCATAAATTAGTAATCGATGTAATCATTAAGTACAGTACTACTTAATTGTAGAATGAAACAAAATGACGGCCATAAAACCACCTTTAAAATGTCTGAATATTAACAATTATTATTTCACAGTATTGGCTGAGCAAAACTAAAGTTAACTATACTTATAAAGCCGGTCAAATCACTATATATATGCGTTTATGGAGTGAATCAAAATTTCACTATTTCAACGAATTTTCATCCAATTAAGTAAATTAGTAAGTGACTTTTCTAGACAAGCGTAAAGAAAAAATGACGAACCTTATCGCTCTAATTATTTCCCAGAACTCTTCTGTTTGTGGTCCCAATGATTCCTTTCTTGTCTCAAAAAGGATTCTAATATATATATATATAACATCTAATCATTCAACAAAGGTGTGGTAGGTTGGTAGATACCCTGATGAGTAATACAGTCGAATCGAGTATACGCGCGCCCCGCGCTTGTATTGCTGGCGCACAAATATATAATTAATAAATGGTAAACAAATATGTATCATATAAATTGTTAACTTTTATATGAACAAGTAGGGATCGATACATACGTAACTTAGCTAACAATAGTAACATAGAAAGTTTTAATGCTAAAAATATTAATTAATCAGTTAATTACATAATTCTCCTCATGGTTTAGCAGTTAATAGTCATATTTCTTGATTATGTACCATATAAAAAAGTGTGTCAGAAAAAAATCAATAAAATCTGAGCATGCTGTAAAGGTAAAACAAAAATATCGATGATAATATTTTTATTTGTTTGTTTCGGTTATTCGAGCAAAGTAATATAAGAGCTAACTACGCTAGCCGTCACTCATTTTAAACTAATTGACTAGAGGGAAGGCAACTTGTTACCCACACCCACTGCCAACTCTTGGGCTACTCTAATCAAATAGTGGGATTTAACCGCTACTCTTATAACACATTTACGGGACCAAAGTGTGGATCGTAATTTTATTTTCGGCAACGGGATGCGACCTTGGACCCTCAGATCCACAGATTGGCTCACTAACCACTAAGGCCACGTCTGGCTCTCAATAAGAAAAATGCGTAAAATTATGATGCTGATAAGTGTAAGGACTGTAATCATTAGTGCTGAAAATTGTGTAAGCAATGTTGTTTTTAGAATAAAGCTACACAGTGAGATATCAATGTTCTGTCCACTGAGTGGAATCGAACCCCGAATATTAGCGTTGTAAGTATATAAAATTACCACTGGTTCACCGGCTATTTTTACAAACACTAACAGACCTTTTAGAAATAAGTGAAATTATTGCCTTCAACTGCCGTACTATGTTGTAATATTCTTATCAAAATTATATTTAGAAAAATGTTTTTTTCATAATTTGGTCAGATTTAACTTTAACTTTTTGCTACGAATTGTTTAAACAGACATAGGTAAATGTGTTAATTACAATTCTGATTTCCTGGGTTCAGTTGCTTACTAAAATAATTAACTATTTATGTGATTATGAATGTACTTACGTGGTATACATGTATATTGCTTATATTTTACTGAAAATTTAAAACTCAAATGGCTAATCAAGCGAATTTTCATTTCTTATCAATTCTAGATATAAAATCAAATATTTATGGAATATCATAAACCACATTAGTGGTTCATAATAGGAATCGCCCGTTTGTTCTTCTTTTTATTATTATTATTATTCCGCCAGCCTACAGCAAAAACTAGCTCGATTATTACAATCAAACCGAGCAGTATTACTAAACGGGCTATTGCATATTGCATAAGGCACTTTTCAAAGTTATTTCTATAATTTTATAAGCTAAAAACACCATAATTCTAGTGTAAACGATGTTATCATTACTCCTTGAAGTTTGTTTGTTTGTTTTTTATAAATATCTGATGTTCCTTTAAGAAGTTTAAGTACAGAGTGAAACGGGAATTCCCAGCCAATAATAGAAAAACATTAGATTACTATAACATGTAGAATAATCAATGCTTTGTATACTATACAATCGGTGTCTTTAGGGAGCCAACTCCTATATCATGTATGAAGTGAAGGAGTAAAAAACAACAACACATATAATATTAAATTGTATTACAAACATTCATAGAATAATTGCTTTAAAAGACACGAAGGTTTATTTAAAGCGATGTTTTAGACGTATATGTTTTAGTTGAAATGGCTGCTTTTCTACTGGTATCATTTTATACACACTTGGTGGGGGTTATGTCTTAGTTTATGCATATAATGCCCATTCTTATGCATTATCTATATAAAAAAATTAGTTTAACAGAAACTATAAATGCTCGTTATATTCTTAAACAAATCTCCATGACAATCTGCAGCTGCAACTTCGAATTTTTACGTCTCGAACTAATGCGATCAAATAGTCAATAGCTACAGTAAATTATCACGAACAATATCAGCTGGTCTCCCACAACAGATACCTTTAAGTCGTAGTTTCGAGAATCGGATCGGCAACCACTCTGATTGCTGATTCTAAGTATCAAATTATAGCCCACACTGCCTTATTTCGAATTTTATAGATACTGCAGATAGAGTAGCCATCCTTGAAGCTGACTATAAGGAATGACAAAAAATCATGGAAGTAGGAGATTCTAGCAGTGAAGCAGACAATTTGTAGTTATATATTTTATTAAGAAAATAATTAGTTTGAGATAAAGTATGCAGCAGCGACAGCCCACCAGAGTTTAGGGTCGTCACAGTGGAAGAGGGTCATAGAAGTGTCACGACCCAAACTCCATCAGAAATGGAGGGGAAAGATATATTAATGTAATAAATTGTTAATTGTTAATTAACACGTTTTCGACCTTGTAGAGTGCGCAGAATGTCACTCTAAGAAAAAAATCTGTAGAACTGCACCAAAACCGTAACGGCTTTACTATGGCCAGCGGAGGAAGTGGAAAATATCAAATATGTTTGTTTGTATACATACGCTATTATATTATGATACGTTTTCTTATACTTGCATTAAATATGTATGCATGCATCTATACAACTTGAGAACTTCATATGTGAATCTATATATATACGGCTTTACAACATAAAATGTTGAGATGACTGATAAATAATGGGATGATAAAATGTTGTGATGAATGATAAATGAGACGATAAAATGTTGTGATGAATGA